CGGAGCCGCTTGGGGAACTCGGGGAGAGCTCCGCTCCCACGGTGCCCACCAGGCCGAGTTCACCCAGAGAGGACTGAGATCTGAGAAATGGCCACACAGACACCGGGTCAGTGAAGATGGAACGGGACGAGGTGTGCCGGAGCTGGGTTTCCCTTGCCAGCGGTGGCGAGACGGCAGGCAGCCCCCTTGCAGCCAGGTGGTCCCGGAAGGAGCAGAGACCCACTCACAGCCCATGGAAACCCACGTCGAGAAGAGATACCAGAGCCTGAGTACGGTACGCATCTAAAGTCTGTGAGACAACCCCAGTCGAAGGGGAGATGTTTTGTTTAAAGGAGATGCCTGAGCCTGAGACTATTGTGAATCATGGGCACAGGTTGAGAAGCATTTACGCATTTAAAGTCTATATGACGACCCAGAGCGAGTGGCAACAACTACCTAAGAATCCGTGACTGTGGTAAAGGCTGCACTGGAGCAATCTGTTGGGGAAGGATTGCATCCTGCGGGTAGGACTCACACTGGAGAAGTTTGTGGATTTTCCTTGTGAGTAGGGGATCCACTGGAGCACGGGATAATGGTGTAAGGACTCCTTCTCCTTTGAGAGAAGCGGCAGTAACAACATGGAATGAACTGACCTGCACTCTCCCATTCCCTGCCCCCCTGCGCCACTGGGGGGAGGAGGTAGAGCGGGGAAGAAAAGGCAAAGGGGAGTGGAGACATGTTGTTTTAAGACCTGGCCTTGTTTTCTTCTTATCTTTTTAAGTAACTGGTTTTGCTTGTCTTTATTCTTTTAAGTAGCTGTTAATAAATAGTTTTACTTTAAGAGAGCTGAGTCTGTTTTGCCCGGGACCGTGGTTGGTGGGTGCTCCCTCTGTTCTTGTCTCGACCCTCAGTCCTTTTATTATATTTTTTCTCCTCTCCACTTTACTGGAGAAGGAGCAACTGTGTGGAGTTTAGTTGTCGGATCGGCCTAAAACCACGACAGAATTACATGATGGTAACTGAGAAGATGACAATGTGCTACTGTCTTACTCAGTTGAGCTGCTTCATCACAAGATACTCCTGGACTCACTGAAAATGCCAGGCAATTCAGATCTAACAGAGTGGAGTTGTCTTCACAGCAAGTGCGTGGCGTCATAGCTAGGGAAATTTTTCTGGAATTAGAAAGAACAAATACTAAAATAGGTTTTGTTTCTACAAAATGAAGAAACAATGTTTGAATGTCTTATTCATCAAACTGTTCTCTGGATTTCCTGCCCGTCTCTTTTTTTTCTGTCTGTTTAGATTATATTTTTCTCTTAAATGATAAATTTATGTGGGAAAAACGAATCTTATAAGCTCTAATTATAGTCTTAAAAAAAGGTTAATTTCACAAAACATTAATTGTGGCCTTAAACTGATTATAGAGATATAGTTTAGTTCACTCCAACCTGAAAGGGGCTGAAAAGTCTTTTTCAGTGTTTGTCTCTGTACAATTTTTGCTACTTCAGCACAAACACTAATTATCTTCCCATAAGGATGCCACAACTTCCATGTTCCTCTTATGGCATTGTACATGGCATACTGAAACTTTACTGGAAAAAAGTGCTCCAGCGTTTGCTGTGAGGGGTCTCTGTGGCAAACACTATTTCACAAAGAAAGCAGGGAGGCTACTTACCGTCAGGACATCTTTTTCCATGTTTGAATTCAGAGGGCTCGAAAAGGCTGAGGATGGTTTTCCGTTACACAAACAGAATTCAAATGCTGCTTTCAGCATCTGGAGCCTGTCTTGAATCTGCAATGAAGAAAGGCACCAAGGCTGTCCAAGAATACTCTGCAGTGACCTATAAGAAAGATTTTGTTGTTCAAATCCTGTCTTTTGCATAAATCAGGAGATGGGTGCCTGCTGCAGTTCCTGCATATGGGTCACCCTCTTCTTTCTTAGGCTGGGGAAACTGGGTACATAGGAGAAAATGTCTGCAATTGCAAACTGCAGCAGATCATCACCCCTGTCTCAGACCTGCTTCCTTGCACTGTTTCTCTCCTCCTCCTGTAGGTAGTTGGGGATTAATCTGACCTCCATGATTGCTTTTTCTCCCCAGGAGCAGGAATCAAATACCTCAAGAAAATAATTTTTGGAACAGCCTTTGCATCATAGGTCATAGACTCAGCTGTAGCCCTTGGCAATACAGGGGAGTAAGAGTCTTCACTACCTTCTAATATTTGGTGGCCTTGGGTGACTTGCACAGCATTGGCATCACAAATCCCAGCGTGAAGATTTGTCCTTTTGGTAGCCACTTCAGGCCCCTTTGATAGCAATCTCTGCAGGGACATCAGTAGAGAGGTATAATTCCATTCTCTCATAATGAGGTTGGAGGTTTATGGACAGGGTCTTGTGTGCAGGGAGTAGCTTCCTTTGCTGTTGTGCATGCAAAATCCAGCTGTGCATAAGAAAGGGAACACAGTCACAGTGCTGCACTATCATAAAAGCATCCTTTAAAAAGGTGTTTTCACCCTTTCAAAAGACACTATTGAAAGGTAATTAATGAGAAGAATAAGTAGAGAAGAAAGAACCATTAGTGTGAAATCCAGTGAGCGCTAGTAAAATGAAAAGAATATTAAATTCAGATTTGCTAATGCTCCTAAATGAGTCCTGCTTACAGAGACATTACTGTTACCTGCCAGCATTTTTATTTAATTAAATGTAAAAGATTGATTATGCATATAATTTCAATTGTTTTAAAAAGCTAAACTGGATTAGAGATCTGATTACTGTGTTTGATAGTGTATATTTACGAAAAATCTATGTGTTGGTTCAGATAAGGGCAGAATGAAAACTACTTGAACCTTCGCATGCAGTTTAACTAGATCTTATGATTGTGCTGAGGCTTATAAACATCTGGTTGATATGGCGCTGCTGAATTTTTCTAATTCGTGTTCAACCCAAATCCAGGAAAACCAAAAAGCACTGCATGAAAGCACACTATTTTGTGATCCCCATGCAGCAAATAGCACTTTGAAGGCAATCCTGAAACATTGGATCCTTAGTCTACAGCAAACAGTCAGTTTTAAAGACTCCTCTGTTCAGTATGCCCACAGGAAAGAGGGCGCCGTAGCTCTTAGCACACTGGAAATCTTCATTTAAGAGTGAGGCTTGTGGTGATTTCATATTTAAAATGAAATCTCTTACTTTGTTCCAGTTTTCTCCACCTCATTTTTTTTATCTGAAAAAGGGATCTTGCAGATCTTTAGATCTGTACCTTATTGAACTGGTAAAGTCCATTGATAGCTGTAGCCAGAATATACTGAAAAATGAAACTTACTTTTTTGTTACAGAGGTGTGTGCAGTTAAGCTGTTTGCAGGAGTTATTGCAAAACAGTTTAGGCCAAAGATTTATCATTCACATCAAACACGTTTTAGGAAAATACATTCTTTCACTTTGAGTGCAACCAAATATTCCCATACAGTGCTATGAAGTAAAACTCAACAGAATAGAACTACAATTGCTCAGAGTCAGTCAGTCAAACTGATTGTTGTTGAAAATGGAAATTAGCTGGCTGGCTTTCACCACCTAAACTGAATGAAATTCAAGGGTAAATTCCATTAGCAATAAGCAGGGACTCTTTCTATATGATTCCAGTCAGTTCAGGTGTTTAAGCAACCTGTCATCAAAGAAATAATGAATGTTCTCATTTTGCTTCCTCTTCTTTGGATTGATCAAATGGTCTTTTGGCATGGCTATGTTGTGGTTAGTATACCACCATTAAAACTCAGAGACACATGTACACTCGTGCATGCATGTGTGTGTGTGTACCTAAGGTCCAGTTTCTACATAGAGCACACCTGGTGTTAACGTTTCCAGAATAATTTTTTATAGAGTGTAAAAGTAACACATTTAGCAGTCTGTGATGACTAAGTAAGTGTTGCCTCTGCACTGATGGAAATATTTGATAGTGCGGTGTATTAGGAGTGTTTATAGATTTTGTTGTTGGGAAATATGATTTCTAGAATAAAATCACTCAGGGCTAAGATGTACTTTTTACTGGGTTTTCATGATTACTTTTTACTGTGATTCTCTAAATGAAGTGTATAAAATATATCATTTGGACTCAGATGAGAATATTTCGGTTTGTTTCACAATACAAATTTTTTGAATGTTGAGTTCTATTTTCATATAATTACGTGCAACCTTCCGTGAGAATACACATCCCTTTTCTCTGCTCTGTGCTAGGTTCAGACAAAACTCCTCCCATAGCTGAATCCCTTGTCAAATTGTGGATGCATGATGGGAGGACATACAGTATAGCTGGGGAGGGGAGAATGGGAATATCAGGTACTGAAATATGGTCACAACCCTTTCAGCATCAAAATGGGAAAGTGTAGGTTAATGTCGAAGCAGCTCGAAAACAGAACTCTCTGACTTCAGCAGTCCCAAACTATTGGGCGTGAAAATGACCTTGAATGAGAAATACCAAGTGTACTGGTTATTTTGCATTTTAGCCTTTAGGATGAAATAAATGTTAGAATCTGAGGATTTCACACAGGATGGACATAATACAGTGACTGGAGCTCTCAGTAATAGTATCTACAGAAAGATCTGATAATATACACATTAAAAACCACAGGTGTTTCTGTTTATGCATGTATGATATAAACATATGCACATCTGTTCAATTAATTTTCTCATCATTGTTGATATTTTTCTCATAGACTCTTCCTAAAATCCTGGATAAAGTGGCCCCTGCATTTGTCATGAACAGCTGCAGCTTCCTGGTGGAGAAGTCCCGGGAGTCGACAGCCCGGGTGGTGGTATGGAAGGAAATGGGTGTGTTGAGGAGCTACACTATGGAAAGCACGTACAGCGGCTGCAGCCATGGACTCTACAAAGTGAGTAAATCTTTCAAATAACCTTGTGCTACCCTCCTCCTAATGTACATCTCATGAGCTTGGAAGGGCAAAGCGAAGAGGACAGCCATTGTCTTGATGTTTAGCATTGTCTGCTCTCTCCAGACCCGTGTGGCCATGCTTCTGAGTATCTCCTCAGTGGAATCTTTCCATGAGGCCTCACTGTTTTTCCTTCCATGGCAGGAAAGTAGAGTGATTGCTCTGAGGTTTCATTCAGCACAAAAAGAAATTCCAATCTAGAGCCAAAAGCGTTGAGCTGAACAAAGGAGTGTTTTTGAGATGATACAGGGCACTTATCCTTATGAGAGCGTTCACAGTGTTGTAAAAAACGTATTGGTAGGTGATATGGACATCTTGAGCCTAGTTCTAAGGTAATTAACTTGAATAGTAGTGGCACCAAGCTCTTTGGTACAGGCTAGCTACCTGAGCATTCACCTGGCTAAATTTAAGAGCCTGCACTAAGAATCCTGTGTTTGGAGTTGCCTGTTACTGACAGCCAAAGGTAGCTAATCTAAGATTAGTTTGGACAGCTGTCCATGAGCTCAAGGTATGCCTGTGACTGTGATCTAGACAGGCCTGAATTCGATGTCAAATGAGGTTCCAGTGTTAGTAGGAAGGGCTGTAATTGTACGGAATGCATCAGAGACATTAGTCTATGAGATCTCCTGGCGCTTTTTAAGTACACAGAATGAATTCTGGTAATTGCATTTGAGTGATTCTAATTCTTCATTCACTCAAATGGTGCATTCTTTCTCTTGTTCCTTTCTCACACCTGTTGCCTTTCAATGAAAGGTTTCCGTATTCCACCTCATTTCTCCCGCTAGGGAGCAATCCTTATCTATACAGCATTAATAAGCAGTTAAGGATCCTAAAAGACCCTTAAGGAAAGAGCCATTATTACAAATAACAATTAATTAATAAGACATTCAAATGATTATCTTTGGAAGCTCTATACTAATCCTTTTACCTCTCCGTAGAATGTAGCCAGGAAGTGCTCAGCTGCTGTTTTAACTACGCTCTGCTATACACACATCAATTCCAAGACAGGAAAGGCAGAAGAAAAAAACCCAGCAGTTTAAAGAAAGAGAATATAATTGCCCTGGGCATTACATCTAACACTCCCTACTCCTGAGAAGTGCTAATGGTTTTTTAATAGGCACCACAGGTCAAGACAGTGGTTTTGAATCTTTTTTAGGCAGTGGGGAAAAATCTACCTCAACTGGAGTCAATGACAAAATTCCTAGTGATCTCCACAGAGGAGGATTTAACTGTAGCTACAGTAAGACCTAAAACCAGTGACACATCAGATTATATCAATATCTAATGATTTGTTCTCCTTCAGCATCTCTGAGGTCTTTAACCCAAATTTGCTTAATTTGTGCCTTTAGACGCTTGAAATAGTAGGAAGAGAACATTAAATGCCCCATTCAGGTGTTGCGTTTAAGCACTGTGCCATCTGCAGGGGTCATGTATTATATAGTAGAGGCATCAAAAATAAGCAGAAAGACCTAATGCAGATGGTTCAGGATTCTTTTTTTAAATAAATCCTTTAAAATGTGTGAAACTATTTTCTACATTCTTTCTTGTGCTCTTTTTCCTCACTGATCAGGACCCACAGGCAGCCACTGAGGACAAAAGCAAGTTGACGTATGAGGGCTTGTCACTGGTGACAGAAGCCAATGTTCTCATGGCCCATGGGGAAGTCTGTAAGCTGTGAAACAGTTTTGAAATTTCCGTTCTGAACGCCCTGAAAAGCTGAGCCAGAATTGAATCATTAGGTTATTTTTATGAGATCACGAATCCGTTTTTTTTTCCCTTTGTTTACAATTATCATTCATCTCAAAGATGGAAGATACACAAATATTCCCATAAGAGGGCATTTCTCATCATTGCTTCATCATAAGGATAATACAAACACTTTTTGCAGTTTCTTTGATTCAGGCAGCTTTAAAGTATTTCCACTCATTTTTTCCAAGTACAATAAGTAACCAACTTGTTAGTATCAAAATGGAAAATAATTTCTTACGTTGACATTTATGCTGGAGCTACCTATAAATACTTCAACTATCTCTTTCAAATAATTGATATTGATAGGCTATTTGCTCTTCCTTTTACCAGTCTTTAGAGTTGACTCTTGCTTGCTTGTTTGCTTGTTCTTAGAAGTGGATTATTTAGGGTAGACTTGACAGGCTGACCTGAAGATTTCGTTGCATAATACCATTTAATACTCAGCTTCCATCTATCAAGCCAAAACTACTTCATTTGTATCTGGAAGCTCTGAAATTATTTCTGTAAACTGGAAATTAATCACAAAAGAGGTCACATTTTTCTAGAGGCTTCAACCTGACTTCTTCACTCTTGGACCTCCAACTTGATGTGTATGTAAACAATAGAGTGAGACTAATGCTCAGGCAGGAGATGTCAGCATCCTATATTTAGAGCTTTCTGATATTTGGATTAGTAGATTTGTGGTTTAGTGTGAATAGAATCAATTTCATAATTGCATAGGATTGATCTCCCTGTAGGAATATATCCAGAATCTCCCCTGGACAAGCACGCCCTTCTGTTTTTGATACTTTTATGCCTTGAAGTACAGTACAAACAGCAGGTAAAATTTAAAATGTCTCGTTATGTACATGCTTTGCTGTACATGAGCACAGCTACGATGATTGGAGTTGCATAGACACATCTGATACGGATTGTGCAAAGGATTTAGGAAGAGCAAGAAGGCCTTATAGAGGCTGCAAGAGGTTAAAATATTAATTGCACACGGCTGGTATGTGTGCCCCCTCTCACCACAGAGTAACATTGAGGAAGGACTGAGGAAAACCAGAACCTAGTTTTTCTGACGGAGAGTCCAGAAAAGATGCTGCTAAGAGTTTTTTCCAAGGAATGCGTGTGGTCTGTCTTGGATTGAAACATAGCTTTAGTTTTTAAAACAGTTTAGTGAGTGAAAGGTAAGGCAGGAATTCTGTGCTATTGATATGTAAATGAGAAAGAGTAGTGACCCCAGCCTCATTTAAAAGTCATTTGATTTCAAACGGGGAGGAGAGCGGGAATGAAAGGAGAAGAGATGGTTTGTCTCTGAATCTCCCTGTCTGTGTGATCAATGGAAACACAATAAGCCAACTACCCTTAAGGAAGCAAAACATAAAACTAAAGAAACTATTGATCTTATCTAAGGTTTTGTTCAACTAAAGAAGAAGAAAAGAAGGGGGGAAAATATCCAAACTCTTTTTCATTTTGTCTGGATTGCTCAATTCAGTCTTAGAGGAGCAGTGTCTCCATTTGAAAGTTGCTAAAAACAAAGCAGCCAGTTTCCGCAGGGAATTCTACCTCCTGCTCCTGCCAGTTTACAGCCCCATGGTCAAAACAGAAAACAACAAAAAAACAAAAGAAGAAACTGCTTATCATTTCTCTTCTCCTGTGAAGGCAGTCTGCATTGTTCCCTCTTTGGAACTTTTACCCCTCCAGCTTACCATGTGATTTCCATTGCTGCCTCCCTTTTATGGGATGTAGAGCCCCTCTCCTCTTTGGTTTTTAGAAGACTGAAATGCAAGACTGTGCTGTAAGAAGTCCTACTGAGTACAGGTACAATCATGGCCCCAGAAGAATCAAATCTCCAGTCACACATATTGACGTTTTCCTGAGGTTGTGTGATTAATTTTTAACCCTCCCTATCTCTTTGCTGTTACCTGTTCTATGGTGTTACGCTGTTTCACCATTCTTCTTGACTCCTTGTTACCTGGCCTACTAATTAAGACCCTTCTGTAGCGTATTGCACTGTGCTGTTACTCTCATTGCTGCATCTCTCATCCTACAAGTTAATATCTTTTGTGCTGTGGTGTACAGCTGAGGTCCAAACCATATGTCTTGGTAATCTAGCAAATCTCAAAAATTCATCTTTATGCTCTGTGAGTACATGCCATGTTGGAAAAGCATTTTCCTTGGCGTGTTGTGCCTGGTGGAGGAGATGTAGTTTTAATGGAAATAGATTTTTAGCTTCTTGTAACAAAGGGATTATAAACAACAAGGAATAACAAATTAGTTTTAAAATTATTGCAGATATCTTGACTGTGCCCTTTAAAGGAGATTTTACTAGTGATATGGATCCCTCTTTGAAGAAAGCTTTTTGGAGAGCTGAGAAAAAAGTGGTTTTTTTTCTGTCCAGTCTAATGCCTCTAAGTCAGAGGAACTGAATGCCCCAAATTTTTTCGATGAACTGCGTTAGAGGAAAAAGCCATCGCTTTGCAGAGATACTGAAAGCAGAGCAAGCAGCACCAAGCAGTGCGGTCACAGGGTTCATAAGGCTTTTTTGATAGTCATTCAAAATGTCTTTGTTGAACAAAAGTGGTGTGAGTTAGTCTAACAAGTTGAAAGGTCTGCTGTTACCTGTCCCTTTTAACCTGGCTGGCATGGGCTGAATTGTTTAAAATGAGCGATGAACCAGTGATTTGCCGTGGAAGTGTGGCTGAACTAAAGCAATGTGCTAAGTTGAAAGCGTTCAAGTCCACCTTCAGCAGGTGAACTTCTCTGGTTTGGCCTCTTTCTGTACAAATTAACCAAATTCTTACTAATATATGATTTGTCCATTGAATTGCACCACTATTTCTTTATAGTTATCTGCAGGCAATGAAATATTTCTTCATTTTCCTTACTTATTGGAGATTACTTACCAGATTTCTATGAGGAATTTTTAGGTATGCTTTATTCATAAGCAGTTTATTACAGTTAATAGTCAGAAATCGAGTTGTTTGGATGGAGTTTGCAGGTCACATGATATTGCTTCTGTTCTCCAGTAAGATGTATATTGTTCTTGTAATTGGAAGTCTGGTGCACAAACTTAGAAATAATTTTGATTTGGCCTCTTGCCAGTATTCAGCCACCAGCAAAAATGGTTTCAGCAATATTCTTGCCATAAAGCATGTTTGATAAGTACTTGTAAAAAGGAAAAGTAAAGAAATAGGATATAGTCTATGCTTTCTGGTGTACGTTTCTGGAAAGTGCATACATGATCTTTGCAAGTCTGACAGGCTTTTCCTCGTTTCTGATTTCTTTTGTCCCCCAGAGCTTATACTTTTCCTAGGTATAGGTAAGTCTCAAAAGCATTCGAAAGTTTCTTTTCAAAAAAATCATCTCTAAAAGGTGTGTGTTTAGCTGACCCTCTGTGCTCTGGGGATTTCATTCAAAAGCAGATGCTAAGAATAAGAAAGCATGATTTTCTTTCTGATAGTTCTGCTTCCAGTTCTGGTCCAAAATGGCTCAAATTGGAAGCAGCTGTAACAGCAAGAAAAGTATAGAAAAAAATAGTAATTTAAGGACTGAAGGCTCAAATTAAGAGTTTTGTTTGTTCTGTTTCCTTAAGTTGTTATCCAAGGCAAAAGTTTGCATTATATTTGCTTCATTTTCCTGCTGCTTTTATTTCCACCAACTGCTTGAACTAATTGATTGATGTTTCAATTTGTAAGATACTTTAATTGTACCTTTTAGGCTTGTGGACTTCACTTGATAAAACTATGTAAGGGTTAATGGCGTTTAGGAAGTGGGGGAAGGCATGTGGAGGAAGAAGAGAGAAAGGATTTCTGAGCAAACAAATTAGGAGATACTGGGTGTTTGTATTTCTTGGAGACTTGTAGATTCTTGTATGAAGGGCTGCAGGGTTTTCGCTCATTAGGTGTTTTTTTTTGTTGTTTGGTTTGTTTGTTTTAATTATTTGACAGAATGCTAAGAAATCACACGCTTAACTGTACTCAAATCTGTTTGGTTCATGCCACATTAAACAACAGGAATTTGAAAGTGTGCTGACTTTGGCCCTCTCAGATTGTTTGGAAAAGCAACCTCCCAAATTGGGAGAACTTTGTAGGGATTCTTTGGCCCTTATATCTCCAGGAAAACTGGAGTTTGTCAGTAGAATTGTCCTGGCTGGTCTTGTCTGTCTTGATGGGTAATGAGGGAGTTGTATTAAGGCAAGTGTGACCAAAACCACATGAGATGTAAATATCATCTGTGTTCTAAAAAGTCATGGGTATTGTTGGTGTTTACTAATTTTTTGTTGAAAGTTCTCAATATTGTCAGATGAGAGGGTCGTTTATGTGCATTTAAAAGTCTATGAATTTTGCAAGTAGCTGATTCAGGCCTCCATGCTCCATCTTCCCATTCCCTGATCCACTCTACAGTCATATTAACCTTGCTGTTTTGGAAGAGATTAGTAGTTGACTAGGGTTGTTTTTCTCATCAGCATTTCTGGAGAAGGCTTATTTCTTATTGGTTTGGGTTTTTGAGGGGCAAGGGAACTGGTTTGAGGTTTTTTTAACCCTATATAGGACAAGACCTGTTTTCTGGTGCTAGTCTGACTGCTCAAAGTCTTTTGCTGAGAACACTCAGCCCCTCATCCAATTACTCTGGAAAAGCAATGGTCTCTTAATCCAATAGACCAAGTTCGCTGCTGTACAAAAAACCAATGGTTTTGTACAGAGCGACTGAATAATTCTTAACTCTTTCAAGAAGTTAGTATAGGGATAGTTGCCTGTCAAACACTGTGCACTAGTCCATCTGTTGAGGTGTCCCATGAATGCTGCCTTGAAACAAATTTTGGAAGAAGTCCTCCTCAGCACCTGCTGCAGTGGATTTCAGCTGTCACTCAGGCCATCTGCTTTCCTGTTCTGTTTTCTGGCTTGAAAGACTCAAGTGTTAGGGGCCTGAGGGA